CTTGATGGTTATTACATTGGAACTGGTCCAACTTGATGTCGCTGTAACGGATACTCGATTCTGTAATTTCGCTCTCTGTGCACAGTGCCTGGTGTTTCTTTCATACCCAAATTCCTGTATTCAAAGCGAACAATACCCAAGTGACAGGAATTTGTTGTTTTACCTACGACATCACAAAAACACGGAGCATTTTTGGACGTTTTAGATCACGAATTCTGAAGTTCTGATAGTGTATGAATTTCATGCCTGTAGGAATATTATTTCTTCTGCTGTTCATTTCATCGTTATCATCATCATTATCCATATCATTAATTTTCCCCGACTTAACTAACTTTATTAATATGACCAAAGTTTTAAATTTTTATATTACTTATACTGTGGAGCCGAGTTGTTTAAGTCCGTATACTCAGAAGGTTACGGAGTCGAAGACCGTGGTTCGATTCCTGGCAGGGGAAGGTTTCTTTCTTGGCCACATCATCAAGACCGGCGCTGAGTACCGAGTGGGTACCATAGTTATTTCCACCGAGGTAAAGCGGCCGGAGCGTGATGCTGTTTGTGGATAGGTTAATAATCCGTTGTTGCATTAGTGAGCTCTATTCTTCGTCTGGGAAGGTTTAGAAAGCTTTTGCAGTGAGGTCAAGAAGAAGGAGATTCTAAGAAACGGGAGAGAATACGATTTGTGATGATGAAGAAGAAGAACAAGGAGGAGAATGCGAGATTATGGGCGATGAAGAAGTAAAAGCAGAAGAAAATATTAAAAACGGTGAGGGGAAGATCATTTAAATATTTATAGTAGGCTTGCACGCCGTGAAATATTCACGCATCCTCCATTTGTCGGAAACTGCAACATGAATAAAAAATGATCCTCTGTTTTCACAGTTGTTGCGGTAGAAAGGGCCCCCTTGTGTGTTGAAAGCATAAGCAGCTGACGTATCTTGAAGGCGGGAAACGTTGAACTAGAATTGTGCTAAAGTGAAACGTCGAAACAGTTCTCAAGTACTGAACGTAGCTGACGAGTAGTCCTATTCTGTAGGTCCTGGGTTCACATGTCGGCCCGGCTATCGTGACAGGATTTTGTTTTTTCCCTTAGTGAATCCAGGAAAATGCTGAGATAATGCCTTAAAGTAGGCTACGACCACTTCTCCGCACATCTTTCTCAATTCGATATTCGTCTACTGCACAGTCTGAGCTATTGACTGCGCCGTCAAATCAACTGTCAACGTTGTCTTGGCGTGGTAATCTTGTGCCGTTAAGGCATTTCGGGTTTTATGGGTTAATACTTTGAGCGTTGCCATGGTGATGTTAAGGGAGACTTATTATTTGCATGTACTGCAACACAGCAGATTTGTTGTTCTCGTTCTGTTTTCACAGTTTTTCCCAAAGCAAAACATTTCTTCCTGTTTCATGGACATATACACTTTCAAGTTTTCTTGGAGGGAAACAAAGCAAGGATTAAAAAACCTTAACGCCGTATATCACCGGTGATGAATACCACTTGTTCGTTTTGCCAGAAACATCCTCCTTCTGACAATTAGTCATTAACACCATTTATTGAGGGGGTCTGTAGTTGCTCTAAATTTAGACAACAGAAATCCATTTATAACAATTTTGTTTTGGTGTCTTGTTTATAATCCTTAAGCCATTTTATTTCGCATCCCAAGACTTCATCCATCTTAGGGTCATATATTATTTTCAAAACCCTGTTATCAAAGAACCCAAATTATTTGTTAAGAAAATTAATCAAATTATTGTAATGTGGTGCATGAATCAATACGTCTGGAGATCATTAAGTTTTCCTTCAGTAGCAGTTAATTTCAATCAAAAACTAGGTCATTCATGCCAGTGAATTACAACAATGGCGCAGTAACATGCAACGAAGCTGCTCGACCTGGGTTTGATTCTTAAATTTGATTGCGTTCGCTCTGATAAGCAGCAGTGTCGACACACGCGATATGCAGTGCGCCAAGTCAACTTCTTTTATTTCAGATACCAACAAAGTCGTCACTCTTTGAAAGTCAATCCAATTTATTCCTGCAGTCGTTACATAAGAAAAAAATTTATGGCGTTTTGGCATGTCACCCACTCTAGTTACTTTTATGTCTGTAACGTAGTGGAATTTTATGGAATATTGCTCGTGTACTGGCAACCATGATTGAGTGTCATGGCTGAAGTAGTGTTGTTTTGTTTGCTTCATGTTCTGATATATCTGGATTCAAAACGTGAGTTTTTATCAAATACGAGTTTTATTTTTACTTGAATTTTATATCTAGCTTCTATTATGAACCATTTGTAATGTAAGACTCTTAATGGAAACGAAACTTGTTGAGGATTCACAACGAAGCAACTAGTAACAAGCAGTAGGGGACAGGTGACGCACGAATAGTGCTGGTACATGAGCACCAAACCATTTATATTGCTGTGAAAATGTCACTGAATGAAGTGATTATTGTTCTGTAATTTTCAAGAACTTGTTATTTCATTGTTCTTCAATAGTCATAAGTAATATCTACTGCTATGCGCTGCACACAAACAAGTTCATTGTATGTTGCAATAAGCCGCTACAAACAGCCCACCTCCACAACAGCAGGTGGTGGTACGGATCATTTCGTGATATAGCAAAGGTGTTCCTTTGGACACGATTTTTCTGTCATGAAGATCGGAGTGTTTAGCAGTGGAAGTATGTTCGACATCTGTCGCCTGAGTGTTGCTAGGCATTTCGATGTGAATCCTGCCTTGCTGCCATCTGTAGTTTTGCCTACAAATGTATGGGCGGGACAAGTTCATACACCCAAGCTAGCAGTGTTACCAATTTTGAAATTAATAATAGTAGCGTTCCGGGCAATGTGTTCACTCCGTGTAAAAATAACATGACCACAGTTTAACACAAGGGTATTTTGAGCATCGCACTGTTGTAATTTAATTTTGCAGTGCCGTAGATGTTGCGTGTCATTATTTTTTCTCCACGCAGTAAGCTTTCGTCACTGATAATGTCCGAAATGGAACAAAAATAAATATAAGTACTGTGATACACATTTTTAATATAAGAAGACGTAGTAAGCAGAAAAGAAAGTTAGCAAATATATGCAGCAACGTAATAATTTTGGCGTGTTCACTCAAGTACTGCCTCTGGATTCTTATTTCGAGAATGCTAACATTTGATTCTGTCATAAGAAGACAGGGCGGACGTTTCCATAGCAACCAGAAACTTAATTTTATGCATCAAAGAAAACACTACACGTCTCCATTACAAAGATCAGACTGGTGGCTCTTCCTTATCAGTGGGGCCGGGGGTTGAGAACCCCTGGCTTTGGAATTCTGAAGACTTTTATTTCTGATCGCCAATCGCAAGTCAAGCACGGTACCGTATTATACAGCAGTGTAGGAATTCCACGAAATTTCTATTTGAAAACCACTGATGGAGGTCTTTGGACGGAAACCTTCAAAGAATTAACTTTGCAGCCAGAAGGATTTTATAATACAAAGAGTCCGGTTGTTAAACCCAGATTCTTCGTTTGTTTGAAGGACTGTTAATACAAGCATTATGCACTCTCGGTCGTAATTTTACGCCTGATTTATCGCACACGGCGACTTCCAGATGAGCTTCATCCAGAACGAATGACGTCCTCGAACACATGGCTTCCTGCTTTTGCCCCTATTGAAAATAACGGAACACTAAGTCATTTGTAGTCCAGTGTGTGGATTCTTTCTCTTGATTAATACGAGAAATTGGGCAGCCGAATGTGAGAGCTGATATATGTTCCCAGTCCTGTACTGACCCCAGAACCACAGCCTTCTGAAGCGACCTCTGCGCCTTATTAATCGCAACCGGATCTTGAAAACTAGTCCCAGAAACTGATTTGGCGCGCGAAAATGCTGCTTTTTAATAACAGGGCATTTGAGGAATGTAAAAGGCAAAAATAAAATAATGTAGATTAATTAATTCCTGTATAAAAGTATGTAATACATCAATTAATTGAAATTATCATAATAATAATAATTTCTAAATGTTCTTCTAGAAAGATTTGTCAGCAAAAATATTTTATATTAAAATTAATTTAAACTTAACTCAGATTTATGGAAACCTTTCGACACAGAAGTGAAAAGTAAAAACAAAAGCAGCAGCAACAACAACAGCAAACAAGAATTTAACGTTTTATGTTCATTTCTTCTGTCTACGTAATTTCATTTCGTATCATATTTTTTTGTAATTTGTCTGGGATGGAGGAATGCTGTTACAAACGAAATTAAACCGGGTTGTTGACAAAATACATGTATCATACTGCAGTGTACACTGCAAGAAGAGAGGAAGAACAAAAAATAAACAAGGAATATAATTAAGGAAGAGAAAAATAAAGAAACAAACGAAATTGGAACTACTTAGTAGCAAAAAATATGTAACGTAATTCAGATCATAGGCTGAGATTTGCTTTATTAATGGATTCAACTGGCTTGGGCCTCTTCTTACAATGGCCTGCAATGAGATTTGTCTTCAAAGAAACAGTTGTGATAATTGAGTTTATATGTATCGATGTTGG